CCCAGTGACGTGTTCAGCTGATTTGGGGGGAATCACGAGAGCAATAAAAACACTCACTGGGCACAGAACACTAGGCTAAATCAGGCAGTTAATAATAACTCGGTCAACACATATTAAGCATCTCCTATATTCCAAGCACTGTGCTAATCCATGGGCATAAAGAGAAAGGCAAAAGACAGTCCCTACCCTCAAAGAGCTTACAATCTGATGGGTAAGACAACATGTAAATAATTATGCAAATACAAGCAATAAACAGAATTAATTGGAAATAACCAACAGAGAGAGGGACTAGAATTAAGAGGGATGAGGAAAGTCTTCTTGTAAATGACATTTTAGCTAGAATTTGAAGGAAGTCAAGAACGCCAGGACTGGAGATAATGAGGGAGCATATTTCACGCCTTGGGAAGAGGCAGAGAAAGTGCTTAGGGCTTAGAGATGGCATGTCTTCTTCAAGAAGCAGCAAGGAGGCCAGCGTCCTTGGATGTCATAATGCATGGTAAAAACGGAAGGTACAAGAACACTGGAAAGATAGGGAGAAGCCGGATTATGAAGGGTTTGGAACGCCAAACAGAGGATTTTGTGTTTAATCCTGGAGGCTGTAGGAAGCCACTGGCATTGATTGAGCAAAGAAGTGACATAGTCCCGAATGCACTGAAAAGGCTCACTTTAGCAGTTGACTGGAAGATGGGCTGAATGAGTAGAAAGTTGTGACAGGAAGACCACAAGGCAAGCAACTGCAATGGTGCGGGGGTGAGGGGGTGAGAGAGGAATGAAGAGACAAGCATGACACTTACATTGTGAAAGCGGGTGACTGGGAACAGGTGATTCTTTCGACAGTGATAGGGAAGAGATAATACGATTAATAGGTTCTGGAAAAGATAGCATGCTAATATGTTTGGTTAAGACATGATGCCAGAGTGCCAGGTCTGGAGTCGGGAAGACCTTAACTCAAATCCAGCCTCAGACACTGACTAGCTGTGTGACCCTGGGCAGGTAACTTCACTTTTTTGCTTCACTTTCCTCATCTGTAAAATGAATTGGAGGGGGAAATGGCAAACTATTTCAATATCTTTGCCAAGAAAACCTCATGGGGGTCACAAAGACTCAGATATGATTGAAACAACTGAACAACTACAACAAACCCTTCCCTGATGACCTTAGTAGGGCTGCAATCTAGAGAAAAGTGGCTTGGACTCCTCGAATTAGATTCCCCCATTAGGAGAAGTGTTGGGGGCATCTGAGATGGCCTTTTTCATCCTACTAAGATGGTAATTTAGAAAATCATTTATAGCTTCAGCAATTTCAGGGAACCTCCTGGTCTCCAAGTTTCCCAAATTGCTTAGTTCTGAGAGAGTTGTGGAAATTGTGTGAACCAAGCTATCTTGTAAAACTGACTCCATTTTGAAAACTAAGTTTCATTTTCCTGTAAATTGCACCTGCTTGCTAATGGTGGGGATTGAGTGACATCCTGTTTCACATCCAGAAAATTCTACCTGCTCACCCCCTCCTCCCAACCCTCAAAACTCACCCCCAATTGGAAAGCCCCTAATCTTTCTTCCAATTAGAAATCAGATTACCTAATTTTGTATCCTGGTTTATATCCTACTATTTATTATCTTTTACTGCATAAAAATATCTCTCCTCGTTTATTCAGGGGCCAGTGCTTAGCTGAGCAAGCTAAGTCTCTTAAGTCTCTGTGCTTCCTTAGTGTGTCTGTCCTCACAACAAATTGATGTGGTTGGAAGCTCAACATGTTTCCTCAGTCATTTCAGCTTTCACCCATCACAATTCTAGATTATAACAGAATATATCACATGGAAACAATTAGCTAGGCACACCTCAGCCCCTCTTCACTGCTAACATGGATACACATAGCTGGATTTTTATATCATCATCTGCACTGTTAAAAACAGCCCTGCAAAGATATGGTGCCCAATTTTTGTTTACTTCCAACTAGATTTTTGACTCCCTTAGCTGAGATATCACTTCTCACATAGCATTTTCTTAGAAGGGAAAGTCAAGCCCTCAGACTCATGGGTTTGGGTTCTCTGATACCCCATCTTCTGAGGCAGGATGCTGTCTGTGGAAGCCCAACCTTCTCTCATATGTCGTAGTCTCTCTGGGCACTAAATCCCTGAAGGCCATACTCATTATAATTATTTCCATCTTCCCAGGGGCACCTTCTCCTACATATAAGTTGAGATTTCTCCTTTTCTTTCTCTTCATTTCAATGCATCCCTTTACCATATCACTCATTCTCCCATAGCCTGTCTTCTGAGAGACTGCAGGAATTATCCCCCCACACACTTTTTTTTTCTCTTTTACTTGACCGGTGGACAGCACACATTCCCTTCCATCTTCTTCCTCCCTTATCCCCTTTTATGCATCCTTCCATTTTGTGGTTTGGTCCTTCAAATAACACTGATTTACCTAAAGGCTAAAAATTGGAAGCTTTGTTTCTGTTGTTTCAGATCCATTTCTCTACCATCACTTCCATCTATGTCCTACTTCTACTCTTTTCTCCTTGTGGACTTCTAGAAAGAAATTTCTTAATGGTCCTTCTGTTGTTATTTTGTTTTTGTTTCTCTTGTTCACAGTTAACCCCACATATGTCTTCTTTTTCTAGTTTCCTCCCTTTTTTCTGTAGTAATTTATTTCATTACTTTGGCTTCCTTGATAGCTGTATTTATATGACTTTCTTGTGTTTCTGTTGTTCATGACTTAAACCACATACTGTCCTTTTTGTACTAATGCTTCAGAAACATCTCCTTCATTAGCTACTCATATTTCTGTTGAAGACTTGGGTCCAAGTTTGCAAAGTATGTCACTGTGGGCTGCTTCTTGAACTCCTTTGAACATTATTTCATTCCCTTCCGGAGCTTCTCATTAGACTTCTTGTTGTCTTGTCCTACAGAGAGCTGTAATTACTTTAACTTTTGCACATAATTCTTATGATGAGGAATTTTGAGAGTTGAGCTCTGGAAAAGTAAAACATTTCTAGTCCTCCATCTTGTTGGTCATGTCAACATTCAGGTTTTCAATGGTTGACACCAATCACTAGATGATCAATATGTCTCTAGGCTTAATCTTAGTAAGGGGATCCAACTATAATCAATTATAAGATGTCTAACCAGTCCCAGACCATGTCATATCTCTTCTGGCTTTCCATAAGGACTCAAGGACTACCCAACATGGGCACCCTACCATCTGCTACCACAACATGTTACCCTCCTCACTGAATTCACTCCCACCTCCCCACCAGACAAACTTTCCACTGCTTGCTCCAGTTCTGAGAATAATGATCAACTTATTACTACTAGGAAGGGTGTGCCAATCTGCTCCCTATGATCCTGTTCACAACCCAGTAGCTACCTAGATCAACCCTACTTTCCTTTGCCACAATTCCCCCATGTGTGTGGAAGCCTCTTCTAGAATATAACCTACCTGTCATTGCCCCAGGTCACTCTTTAAGATTCTAGTTGAAGAACAAATGACGATTCAAATTGGTAGAGGGTGTTTATCTATAGGGAGGAATAAAATTACAAGCCTAGAGGTTTAGAATACAAGCTTCTTTAAGGCAGAGGCTATTTCACTTTTGGTTTTGTATCCCTAGCACCTACATGGAGGCACAGAGTAGAAGGAGCTTAATAAAGGGTTGATTGCTGGATGGTTGATATTTTTTGTCCATTCTGACTCCTTTTACTACATAGGATTTCTCAACAAATAGAAATTTCACATCTCACTATAGGAAGTCATTTCATTGCTAGTCCAGCTCATGATTAACCACAAATTATCTCTACAATATTAACAGCACATAGTCCCAGAGCTTCTGCTGAAGACCACCAGGAAGCGGGAACACACTCCTTCTTATGGGACCTGGAAAAATAATTCCTCTTCATGTGATAGCTTACTCAAGATGAAGTCTGCTGAGTCATTTTCTTATTTCAATTTAATTCAATTTAAAAAACAATGATTGAGTTTCTGCTTATATGCAAGGCACTGTACTGTGCAATGAAGACACCAAGACAAAATGACAAACAGTCCCTGTCCTCAAGGAGCTTACATCCAACTGAAAGAGGACAGAGACACAGACGAATAAATGAAATATGAGGCAATCTGCAGAGAGAATGAGCATGGATGAGAAAGCCTTGAAGGGTCTTGCGGAGCATGACTCATTGGCCCAACATGGTTCCACTGGGTCCTCTTGCCTTGTAGGTGGGGGGTAACCTCGTTGACTGATTGACTGTGTCTTTAAGCCTGGTAAGACTAAGTCATTCACTCCTTTTCAGGTACATTCTCTTTTACGCCCTCTTTCTTCTGCCCTTTCTAGCACCTCTTACCTGCTGCACCCAATGTGAATACTGTGAAGTGAACAGGTAAGAAGGGAAAGACTTGCTTTTCCCTGCTCCCTCTCTTTTAGTTCAGCTCCAAGAAATTGGTCTGCTTATGTTTGTTCCTGTTCTGTATTGTTTGTTCTTGGTTTGAGGTGCTGGAGGAAATCTCCATGGTACCTGGGAGTTTGAGCCATGGAGACCCTGGAGGCAGGATGGCAGGTGGGGTAGTACATCTGGTCAGCCCAACAGGAAAGCCAGGAGAAACCAGTCAGGGTGCCTGGGAGCTGAACCTGAGGTGGTTTGGGACTTAGAACTGGTACCTTGATCTGTAGGAACCAAGCTAAGCTATTAACCTAATCTTCCTCCCACCCCATAGATTGAAGTGGTATATATGAGGGTAGGGGAAGGATTATGCCTCCTACATGTTAGGGAAGTAACTTTGTATGGTTGTGATTATACCTGCTGAGATACGCAAATATTGCTAAATAAAAGCTAATCTGACTTTTAGTGGCTGATGGAAGTGGGGTGCAGGGAACCTCCCTCCTACAATAGAGGAAATGACATCTGTGAGGGCCAGAGGGATTGGCAGAGAGCCTAGGCACATCACAATGCCCTTAAGGGTACAGAGAACCCTGGGGGGGAGAGGGAAATGTAGCATAGCTTGCCTTCCAGGAAGTGAGGTCCAGGGCAGCCTGCATTGCAAAAAAGTTACCAAATACAAAATGGATATGAAGTTATTTCAGGAGAGAGAGACCTAATGGTTGGGCATAGGTGGGCATCGTTAAAGAAAGCTTTGTGTAGGTGTTGGCATTTTAAAAGAAAAGTTTCCCCTTCAGTGTAAAGCTCCCAAGGTGAGTGATTGCTTCTGCATTTGCTGTATCAGTGCTGATAATCAGCCCCAAAGTTTGTGCGATACTGACCCTGAATGGCAGACCCACATAGGTGCCTATCTCTCAGACAGGAAGTCCATGCTGGTTTCTGGCTAAATAATCCTTACTGTAGCCATGCTTTTATCACAGCAGGGTGAATTCCTCTTGTGAAAATTGGCACCAATTATGCAAATGAAATTTGAAGAATTCATGAGCTAGATGGTAATTGGCTTAATGTGCATTAAAGAGATGATATACAAATTTTGCTTTCCATAAAATCATTTTTCCTTTTTGAAATAACCTTTGGAAGGCTACACGATGAATGGTAAAGAAGCCAAGATTTCAGATATATTCCTCTTCATGGGTGTCCAATGGACCCAGTGTGGACTCTCTTTCATGATGATTTTTAAAGCCTCTTTCTTTTGTTCCCTAACAATACTAATAGCCAAGGGCTTACGTTCTCCGTGAGCATTTCTCAGATGTGGTGGATTACTTTTTAGAAACTGATTTGGGATCTTGTTTTCAATCCAGGCACCCCATTGAGCACAAAGTACCTACTATGTGCCTGGCACACAGTATAAGAGACAATGTGATTCAGGTGATACAGTGTTGGGCTATACCAAATGGTATATCAAATACACGTATAATATATGTATATGTGTGTATATGTATATACATATATGTATATGTTTAGGATCTATTTTGTGCAAAGCATCACACTATTCTGTGATGGATGCTATTGGGGAGAAAGTGTCAAATCTGGGCCTGCCCTCAGAAATATACATCTAAATGAGGAGCAAAGTCATAAACCTATAAAAAAGTTAACGTAACAACAAAAGATTTAAATGACAATTTGAGGCAATCAGAAAAGATATCACAAAACTATCATGATTAATTGCTAAATCAATTATAAAGATAATTATATGGTCTTCAAATGGAGAGAGACGTTGAGGCTTGGGTAAGCTCAGAAGACTGACAAAAGAGATTGGATTGGAACTCTTTAAACTTACTAATGTCTTGGTGTTCAAGAATTTCTGTGACTTCAAATGGACCACACTGAAGCTAATGTAATGATAAGCCACCTTGATAATTGTTTTGCTGGTCCTCAGATGAGAATATGACATTGGGGCCTATATCTAAAGCCTTTCTGGCTTAGCAGAATAGGCCAGAGTTAGTCATAAACTGGCATAACATTCAAAAACTCAGAATCACCTCTTTACCCAATGAAGTATGGAAGGTAGGATTGTAGTAGAGTTGAGTCTTAAACAATGAGAAAATAATAATAAAAAAAACCAAAACTACATTTTAGGGAGGGGAATAGCATTTAAAAAAAGCTGAGAAACAGGAAATGTTTTTTGAAACAGTTTTCAGGGAGCACTTCAGTCCTGTTTAATATTTTTTTGTGAATGTCTTAGAATAATTCAAAGATGTCATGTTTACCCAGTCTTCAGGTAGCACAAGGCTAGTAAATGGATAGCTAGCACACAGAATGACAGAATCAGGATCCAGAAGGATTTTGACAGGTTAGAAAAACTGGACTAAAAATTAAATAAAATTTAATGAGGACAAAAGTAAATTATTGTGTTTGGGTTTAAAAAAATCAGCAGCCCAGGTACAAGATGGAGAAGGCATAATTAGCATCTTGATAAAAGACCTGAGGGTATTCCTGCACTGCAAACTCAATATAAGTCAATAGTGACAGGGCACTGAAGAAAGTTAATGCGATCTTGGGACACGTTAAGTAAAGTTTAGATTTTGGTAATGTGGAGATGATGGTTCTGTATCTGGTCTGAATACATCTGGAGTATTTTGGTCAATTCTGTCTACCTCAGATGATGGATGATAAGTTGGAAGACATACAGGGGAAAGGGGATCAGAATGTCAAAATTCCTTGAGCCAATGTCATACGATGATTTGTTCAAGGAGCTGGGGATGCATTGCCTGGAAAGCAGAAGCTAAAGGTTAGGTTTACAAGAACTGCATTCTAGTATTTACCAGGCTGCCATATGGAAGAGAAATTAGACTTATTTTGTTTAATCCCAGATGGCATAATTAATTAAATTATTTATTATGTAGCTGACAAAATAAGGATTATATAACATAAATATAACATAATATGATGGAAATTATAATTAAATAAATATAAAATACATAAATTAGTTAACATTCCTAAGGAGGAAATTAAGCTGGAAGTCAGGAAACAAGAACTTTTTAACAATTAGAGCTTTCTAAAAGTGCATCTTGTGGGCTTCACTGGAGGTCTTCAAGCATTGCCTGGATGACCACTGGTTAGGTAGGTTGGAGGGGATTTTTTTCAACAATTCAATGATATCAATAATTGATTGGACCAGATGGTGATAAAGGCAGGGATTCTAACTATGAAACGTTGTGATTGTGTGATTCTCAGGAATGGTGAGAACTCAGTTTGGCTACTGGAGGAGAAGAGTAGTTAAAATGAATATTAGGAGATAAGGCTGAGGCAAGACAGGGAATATCAGAATGAAGAGCTTGGATTTGATCTGAGAAATAATAAATAGGGAGACAGAGGTATTAGACTAGGGAAGTGACAATGAATTCAGTGTTTACAGAAGAAGAATCAGGTAGCAGTAGGCAAGTGTATAAGAAGGGCTAGACCAGAAAGACATGAAGTTGGGATGCCATCTATACTATTGCACAAAAGGTCTGGGCAAAGAAGGCCTGGGCTAGCCTGGTATGGGGGATGAATTCAAGTCAATTCAACTAACATTTATTAAGTGCCTACTATGTGTCAGGCACTGAGCTACTGTAAATATGAAGGCAAAAATGAATCATCTGTGCTCTAAAAGAATTAAAATCTTACTGCCATTGAAAAGTGGCACTGAGGGATAAGACAAGGAGAGAATCCACGGGGCTTGGTGACTGAACATGAGGCAGGAAGGGGTCGAAGATAACTACAGGGTTTTCATTTATTTTGCCATCTTTAAAATATTGTGCAGATGATAATGAAGAAATCAAGATGGTTGAAAGATTCATCCTTTTTAGGATGGACAGTAATTTAATGTATTCATAGCTAAATTCCTTTTCATGATATCTTTTTATGACCCAGAATGCAAATAGAACTGAGATTTTTTTTAAAATTAAAAATGGGAAAATTGGAAAGAAAAATTGTTTTGAGGAAGGGAATAATTCAGCTGTCTTCCTGTATCCATTTATGAATTCAATATTCACTTATTAAGCACCTACTATGTTCTAGCCACTGTGACTGGTTCTGAGCAGGATTAGCCAGAAATCCCCTTGAATTGTTCAGCCTTCAAAGCTCTGTTGCTCCCGCTTCTGCCCCATCTATCCTAAGTTATTCCCCATCACTTCCCTCCAGAATCTCTGCTGCAGCCACACCAGCCTTCCTCTTGCTCGTAGGCAATATTCTCTCTCTCACCTCAGTGCCTTTGCCTTAGCTGTTCCCCACACACATTCTTCTTCTCTCCATCTCTTGGATTCCTAGGAGACTCAGCCCATGTGAGGCTTTTTTTGATACCCTTCCCTCCACAGGATAGTGCCCCTCCCTCTTCCCCTTTCACTCTTGAGCTACCTTGTATTTGTACCTATGATATACCATGTTAGACTGTAATCTCCTGTGAAGTCAAGGACAGTTCCATTTCTGTTTTGATACCCCTAGTACCTTGAACAATGCTTAAACAAGTAGTAAATGTTTAATAAATACTTATTAATCGGTTTATTGAATGATTGGAGAGATGCAGAACAAAATGCCAGGTGGCACAGTGGATAGAGTGTGAGGCGTGGAGTCAGGAACACCTAAATTCAAATCCAGTTCCAGACATTTACTAGTTCTGTGACTATAGGAAACTCACATAACTTCAGTTTTCCTCAGTTTCCTTACCTGTAAAATGGTGATAATGATTTCTACCTCTCAGGTTTGTTGTGAGGATAAAATGAGGAAATAATTGTAAAGTGCTTCCACAGCGCTTGGCACATAATTAACTATTACATAAGATGTAACATGACATAATGGAGTGAGCCCTGGTCTTGATTCAGGAAAGTCTAGGCTAAAGCCCTGCCTCTGATTCTTACCTGCTGTGTGACCAAAGGTGAGTCACTTAATGTCCCAATGATCTGAAACTACTATCTAAGACAAAAAATTGCAGACAAATTGAGAAGCTACAGGACATTTTCACCCCAGAAAGTTCCCCATCCAATTAAAATGATAGGTCTGGATTGTCCCAACCCCCCCCAAAAAAAGTGTTTTAGAGATGAGCAGAACAAAGTAGGAGCTAAGGAGGAAAGTCTTTCTGACAATGGGGTCAGAGACTTAAAGGCAGAAGAGACCTCAAAGGCCATCTGGTCCAACTTCACATTTTACATTTGAGGAAACTGAGGCATAGATAACTGAAGTAACTTGTCCGAGATTATATAGGTATGAAGTGGCTGAGGTAGGATTCTAAAGCTAGTTCTCTGATTTCAAATCCACCATTCCTTCTGCTCACCAAGACGATAAAGATGTGTTTTCTTTAGAGAGATTTCAATTCTGAAATTGTGGGAGAAATAAAAGATTGGGTGAAAAGATAAGGATGTGTTGAGGGGAAGTGGTAGCTGGGGATCTGGAACAGTGCCTCAGTAAAATAAGAGGTAAGGTGGTCAGCTGTAACAGGTACTTGGGAAGACAGGATAAAGAATGAAAAAAAAAAGATGCTGGGACATACAGTATGGATAATGAGCCAGGAACTCAATGAGGGATAAAAAAGGCAGATGCCAAACAGTGCCCATGGCCAAGTTGTGGTTGGACAGTATACATTAATAATGGGCCAAGTCTGTTGGCTCCAGAATTGCTCTGTGCCCCAGGAACACGAGTGGAGAAATCAGGCAGGAGGGCTAATTCAGGCTTGACTTAAAAACCAAGCTCTCCAAAAAGTCAGCGTGATAAATATGGCAGCATTGTCATTGATGACCAAGAAATCAAGGATAGAAAGGGGGGTTGCAGAGCTAAGAGAATGCTAATTGACTTTGACATGAAGGTTTCAGGGACTGGAGTTTTCAGAGAAAGTAAAGAGAACTCAGTACATGCTGGGAAATGGGAAAAATGACAAGTAGAAAAATATAATGGGAGGGGTCAAGGAGGAGGAAGGTTGGATACTATATAAAGTAAATGACTATGTGACCTCAGATAATAAATCAAAAGCATCTATTAAATCCCTATTATGAGTCAGACATGGTATGAACAAATTAAATTCCTGAAGCCTCCATCTTTTCAATGGGAAAACAAGGGGTGTTGGACAAAATGACTTCTTGATAGAAGCCAACAATTCCAAGAAGCAGAGGAACGGTTGGACAGGAGTTCAGGCATGAAGAAAACACGCAGAATCCTTCCATATGACAACTCATTATACCAGAAGAGAACTCTCAGACCTACTCTGTGTCTTCTCTTCTCTGGCCTACACATCACCAGCTACTTGAAGCCCTTTACCATGCTGGTTGCTCCCTAGCTTCTAGCACAAAGTTACATAGGTGACAGGTGGAGCGCTGTGTAAATATAAGGTTAGAAAGGTTAGACTTGGACAGGGTGTAGAGATTTTAAAGAGCAGATGGTGTAATTTACAATATATTTGATCCTAGAAATGGTAGCAAACTAATGGAGTTTAATGAGTAAGGGTACAACATACTTTGTGAAAATCACTTGGGCAATTGTATGAAGGATGGATTGGAGTGTGGAGAGACTTGCGGAGAGGAGATCAATTCAAAGTCTATTTCAATAGGTCTGGTGACAAGTAATGAGGGCCTGGACTAAGGCTGTAGCTGTGTTCATGGAGAGAAGAGGACATGCCTGAAAGATTTTGTGAAGGTAGGAGGATATTTGAATGGATTAGCTGTGGAGGGCAAGTGAGAATGAAGAGTCTTAGATGACACCAAGGTGGTGAGCCCAGTGTCTGCACAGATGGTGGTAGTGCCCTCAACAGGAAGAAGGAAGTTTGAAACAGGGATGAGTAAAGTAACTGACTTTCTTAGGGTCTACATAGCCTGAGCAGTGAAGACAGAGATGGTAATCTGCTTGGCTTGGCTCACGTTGGCCAATTTCATTATCAACCCAGCTGTTCAACATTCTATTGATCTTGTAGAATCTATAGGATGATATAGAACCTCTCCATTGAGCTCTAACCATGATGACCAGTTTTGCTTTGATCTATTTTGCCTCTCTGCTTCCCCTCTGCCTCTTCTCAAAACTGACTCAGACAGAAGTCTCCAGAATATATATCCAACATTGATAATTGACATTAAGGAGGCTCTCACAATAACTGATTTGTTTCAAGTGTTCACTTCACCTTTTTTTCTTAGAATGACAACAACAGTAACAATAGCTGGCATCTATAAAGCACTTTGAGGTTTATAATTCCATTTACATATGTTCTTTTGACCTTTACAACAACCCTGTGAGGTGGGTGATAATATTATTACCATTTTTCAGATGAAGAAAGTAAGATAGAGGTTCAGTGACTCACCCAGAGTCATTCAGCTAGTAAGGGTCTGAAGAAGAATCTGACTCAATTGGTCCTGATTCCAAGACTCATGCTTTATCCACTGTACAATCTAGCTGCCTCTTGATCCCACAATATCCACTGCCCATTTTATCTGTGAAAAGACTAAGATGGAGAGGCAGTTGTGACCTGAAAATGTCTTCAATAATCCTCTGCTTTTGCATGAGATGAAGTTCAAAGGGCTCTGACTCTGGAGCCAGAAGGCCTGGGTTCAAAGCCAGGTTCTGATATTTACTAGCTGTATAACTTCAGGTAAGTCGTTTAACCTGTCTGAGACTCAGTTTCCCTCTTTCAAAAATGAAAAATTCTTTTTTTCCATTACCTTGAGCCATTAAACCACTTCTAAAAATCTTATAATACTACAGAAACGAGACCTGTTATTGTAGAATCAGTTTTAGCATTAGAAACAATCTCCTTGAAGAACTAGGGTAAACCCTATCTTAAGAAAGAAAACCACTGCCTCCAGAGGCAGCCCTTTCTCTGGCACAGATCTACTTGTCAGGAAGTTGGGTTGCTTTTTCCCTCGACATTAAGCCTAATGATGTATCTTTGTAACTTCCATTTACCGGTCCTAGTCTTGCCCTCTGAGACACAAAACACACAGACCACCCATCATGCATGAAGAGAGCTCTCAGATCTACCCTGAGTCTCCTCTTCTCTGGCCTAAATACCATCCACTACTTGAGGCTTTACCAGACTTGCTGCTTTCCAGCTTCTCCACATCCTTCAACTTGGGTGGATGAGGAAAGATGAAGAAAGTGAGATTCCTTAGGCTAACTTACTCATCCAAAGCCACACAAGTAGGACTTGGAAGGGGTGGGACTGGAAGCCCAATTTTCTGATTAAAAGGCCCACTGGATGATGGAGGAGGAGGACTGATTAATGTTAACCCTGTTTAATGTAGCACCACAGAATGTAAGCCCCTTGAGGGTAGGGCTATTCCTTCTTGGTTTCTGAATCTCTAGCACCTAGCCATTCAGTATAAATGATTTGTGAACTGAATTTTACTCAAGTAAACAATTAAATCAGAACCGCAAGCTACTGGTTGAGATAATATCTGGTTATTACATACATGTCTGACTTGCATACTAGGTACATTTCTTTCCTCCCCCCTCCCACTTCCTCCCTATTATTTGTCAGTAGAAGTTGAATATTGAACTGGCCCCCATTGGTACGACATTATTCATGACATTCAAACTCGTTATGGGCTTGTTTCCCCATCTCTGGCCAACCACAGGCCTTTCCTTAGACATAAATTGGGTCCTGGGACAGGGACTTTCTATTTTGACAGTCATACCTCTGGTGAAGGCTTAAGCACTCTCAGCTCAGTCCTAGAAAACAAGAGTCAAAAGGGGGAAACTCCATCCTCCCAGAAGGGACTCCTTTACGCCAGACAATTGTCACAAGACAGCTACTTAAAAAAAAAAGTTAACAATAGATGAGGTCACCTGTATTTAACTCAATGTTTCATTTAAAAAAGGGGGTGAGGTGGGAAATCAAGCACACTGATTTTGTAGATACTTCCATGAACACAGGGTGCCTTCTCCTATCAGAACGTATGAGCCAATAGATCAGGGCCTGTTTCCTTTCACTCTTTATATTTCCAGTTTCCATAACATATAAAATTAACTAACTCATAGTAGATACTGAATACATGTGTGTTGATTTCTGGGTTGATTGTTTGGATGTTTGAATTTGTTATTACAAAATATCTGCATTATCCAAATGAGGCAGTTAGGTGGCACAGTGGGTAGAATGCTAGGACTAGAGTCAGAAAACCTGAGCTCAGATCCAGCCTCAGACACTTACTAGCTTTGTCACTCAGGGCCAGAAACTTAATCCTGTTTGCCTCAGTTTCCTCATCCATAAAATGAGCTGGAGAAAGAAATGGCAAAAACACTCCAGTATCTTCGCCAAGAAAACCACAAATGGGGTCATGAAGAGTTGGACATGACTGAACAACAAATTATCCTGATTATTCATGTTCAATAAGGGTTTTTCTTATACTTTGATTCTTTTCTCCAGATGTTGGGGAACTGCTCTGAGGTTTAAGCATGTCTGCTTCTGCAAAGTTCTTCAGTGATGATGCCCTTGGAAAGTAAATGAAGAGATTTAGGAACCAACTAAGTGAAGAGGAAAGCTAAATAAAGAGACATTTCATACTAGAAGGGAAATGCATATCATGGGATATAAGAAACAAAAGTTGACCTAAAAAGTGTTTCCTCACTCTCTGCAATTATCCTGCATGGTTTCTACTGGAAAAAGAAAGGGGGAAATGGGTGCTTGTTAATTTCACATGTTTTCCCATTCATTAGTCAAAGGAAGGGGGTCCTTTTGGAAACTCGCTTAATGATTTACTTGATTCTAATTACAGTATGGAAATCAGCTGAATACCCAAATCTAGAATCAAAAAGTAGAAAGTCTGCATGAGTTTTGAAAAATTGCCCTGAATCTCTTTTAGAAATTCAGAATCAAAACAACAACAAAATCAGTCTATAGACAACTGAAACAAAATATAAAGCTCTTTTCAAGTATTTTCTTTTTTTAAGTGGGACTTTGGTCAAAAAGTTTTAAATCTTTTACAAATCACCCCTACCACCCCCAATTCATCCTAAACTCTTTAGTCAAAGTAAATGATCAGTGATAAAAACTCCTCCACCCCCTATCTCCCTAAGTGATTTCATATTTATTTTGTACTTACTTGTCTCTGTATAAAAATTAAATCTGCAGTAGTTTGTGAGCTTCCTGAGTGCAGAGATGGAACATTCTGGGCTGTTGCATTACTTTTCTTCCTGGTTTCATATTAAATAGAGATGTTAAATAAATTCTTACCAAAGGGATTGGATGTTAAGTGAATTGAATAGCAGTGACTTTACATAGTGGCCAATTTTCTGGCACAAAATGTGAGTTGCAGATTGACCACAAGTTGGTAGAAATTCTAGAACTGGCACTTCCTATGTAGACACTGGAATCATAGGCACAAACCACGCATTGGTTATCACCAGTAGCCCAAAGTCTGAAGCAGGGCTCAAGCCCTTCTTCTTCCTGCTCTCCTCTGAGCAGACTATCTTCTGGACTTTCTTTACTGTGCCCCAGATCTCATCTTGAATCCTCTTTTCAGCCCTGGAATTCACAGGCTGGAAGTAGCCTCCAGCCTTTTGGCCTCTCCCTCTGATTCGATGTATCTTCCTACAACCTCCATTCTAGAAGGATGCTGGGCCAGCCCTGTCTTATGCCTCTCCCAGCTGCTCCCCAGACTTCTTCTACTGTGTCTGGGAAACTTTGTCTTCCCTGCTCCCTTTAGCTTCCTTTTGTGTTTCATCTTCCTTCATCACAATGGAAGTTCCTTAATGACCAGGATTGTCTTTCATTTGACTTGTGTTTGTACTCCCAGGACTTGAGCACAGTGGCAGATAGAGTAAGAACTTAAGAAATGCTTGTTCACTTGACTATACCCTCTTTGAGAACCAGATGAGGGAAAAAGAAGTTCACTGGATGGTTACAGCTTTTAACTCTTTTAACTGATCTACATGATCTTCAACAGCCTTCAAAGCTTCAATGAGTTGTATACTTAGACTGGTAGCAATGGGGATAACAGGAAGAAGAGATGTAGACTATAGCACCAGCAGATGGAAGATGAGGGAGGACCTATGCTATGCCCCTAATTTCCAGTGATATGAAAATATGCTATTTTAAATCAGACAATTTTACTAAGTATATGCTATTACTACTACTACTATAATAAAGAGAAGAAAAAGAATGAGAAAAATAATAAGAATTATTTATTTAGTATTTCCCATGTGCTTTGTTCTATGCTACATGATTTACAGCTTTTCTCTCATTTGATCCATTTTAAAGATAAGAAAATTGAGGTTAAGTGATTTCTCCAGGGTCATAGCTAGTAAGTATTCGAGACTGGATTTGAAGTCAGTTCTTCTTGATGCCAGGCTCAACATTCTACCCACTCTGCCCCCTAGATGATTCAAGATCGATGACAAAAAAATTTAGGACAAATGATCTAAGGACATAGAATTTTGTTTAAAATATTTAATAATAATAATAATAAAATAAAAGCTAACATTTATATAGTGCTTACGATGTACCAGGGACTGGGCTAAGAGCTCTATAAATATTATTTCATTTGCTCCTCACAACAGCTCTAGGAGGTAAAGGCCATCATTATCCCCATTTTACAGATGAAATTGAGGCAAAATGAAGTTAAGTGACTTACCCAGAGTCACAAAGCTGGTAAGTGTCTGACGACATATTTCAGTTCAGTTTTTCTTGATTCTAGGCCTAGTGCTCTATCTATAACATATAGAGTCATAGTTATCAATCATTAGGATTGGTCATTCACCAATGAATCATAAAATTAAAAAAAAAATAGAATTCCAGGAATGAAAGAGATATCAGAGATGCTCTATAACTTCCTTGATAAGCAGTCATCTATCCTCCACTTGAGACTTCCATTGATGGAAAATTCATTAGTCACCAAATATTCCATTCCAATTAAGGCCATTCCAAATTTTTTTTTAACATTATTTATCTATTTTTAACATTTATTTTTATTAAATTCTGAGTTCCTAATCCTTTCTCTCCTTCCACTCCTTTCCCTACCCATTGAGAAGGCAAGCAATATGATATCAACTATAGATGTGAGATCATGAAAAACATGTTTCAGTTTTAGCCATGGTACACATATAAAGCAAGAATAATAAAGACAGTGAAAAAGATAATGTTTCGATTTGCACTCAGAGTTTATCAGTTCAATGCATAGACTATTTTATATGGATCCTTTGGAATAGTCTTGGACCACTGTATTACTCAAAGTAGCTAAGTCTTTCACAATTGATCACAATTGCAATATTGCTGTTCCTGGGTACAACATAATCCTGATAAGACTCATTTCACTTCATATCAATTCATACAAGTCTTACCAAGTTGTTTTTTTTTTAAACCATTTCCCTCATCATTTTTTATAGCATAATGGTATTCCATCACAATCAGGTATTACAATTTGTTCAGCCATTCCTCATTTTATGGGCATCCCCTCAATTTGCAATTCTTTGCTACTACAAAAAGTGCTGCTATAAATATTTGTGTAAACATATTTTTTTTCTTTTTCTTTTACCTCTTTGGAATACAGACCTAGTGGTGGTATTGTTGGGTTAAATGGTATGCACAGGCTATCAACAGGATTGACAGCCCTTTTGGGGTCACTCCTAGTGTTAGCAAATTCTACCTTAGGTTGGACTGAAGTTTGGTACCTAAAAACCCACTGTTCTACCTTCTATGGCAAGGATTTCTTACTTTCCTTCCATGCAAAGGAAGTAGAGTGATTCTTATTGCTCGGTAGAAGTAGGTCAAAGATATCTAGCTCCATTACCCCTTAGGGAGTTATTTTCACTCTTTTTTTCTTTTAATTGATTTGCATGGTAGCCATCGGCATTATGGGTCATTAAAGTCACCCCATCCCTACAGTGCTGTGCAGAGATTTTGAAGGCTTTATATTTTTTTCTATGACTAATTCTTGGAATGATTTGAACTAGGCTAACAACTCAGGCACATGACAGTAGTTAAAATAAATTGCAGACCGTAGTTCGGACAAGAGTTTACCCTGAAGGATCCCAAGCAGCTGCAAAAGAAAAGAAGTTCAAAAACCATATTGAAACAGTGTCTAAGGGTTTCTGTGGCAAGTTGGCTGGATGAAGTTGGTTGGGGTTTGCACCACAAAAGAGATAAATATAGTTTCTGGAACTATCAACCTAAAAAAAAGCTGATAGTCCCTTCCCCAAATATGAAGAAGTTGCATCACATCTGAAAAACAATTTGTGGCAATAGAGAGCCATAGCACCTCAAAAGAAGCCACATCACAGTTGTTGACCAGCAGAGAAACACAACTCAGAAGAAATACCCTACAGAGACGCCTGGCAGAAAACAGCAGAAAGAAACTCTGCAAAGAGAAGATCAATATCACCAAGGATATAATCAGCTTTGTAATAAAAGAGCACACATTCCCCCAGCTATGAATGTTTCCTTGCAATACAGGCCCTCTAAGTGTGTGGCTTTTCTTTCATGTTCCCAAGGCTCATGTATTCCCTGAATATACCCCCTCCTGCCTCTGGAAATGAGGTAATTCATGGAACAGTAAACCTGTACATGGGATGCTTGTCATCACTTGTTTTGCTATCATGTTTGCTTACATATTTTCTTTTTCAACTACTGTTTCTTCTGATTAGCTAGTAAAAGAAAAAAGCATCTGTGGTACCTTATAAGACACAGTCATGAGCAGATGCTGATCTACAAAGTAGCTTTAAGGAGAGAAGCCACATACCGGTTTAGAGTTGGGGGAGGATGCCAAACATATGAAAGCCCCCCAGTATTTAAAGGCAGTGATTGTGGTTTCCTTCCCCCACTGTTAACTTTGTCCAGATCAAACATCCCCTGTTCTTTAACCACTTTTCATGTAGTTCATCCGTCACTTAACCAACAAGCATTTATGTGCCCAGTATTGTGCTAAGCACTTCATGATCCCAGTTGTTATCATTTGGACATAATCTAGCTCCTCAAACTTTCTAACATGCGGTCCCAAGACTGAGACAATGCACTCCAGGTGTGGTCTGACTAGGGGACAACAAACATTTATCAAGGACAGCAAGGTGGCTCGGTGGACAGAGAGCGGGGCTTGGATTCAGAAAGCCCTAAGTTCAAATCCAGCCTCAAACATTTACTGGCTGTGTGAGCCCAGACAAATCATTTAAACTTTGTTTGCCTTAACCCACTGGAGAAGGAAATGGAAAACCAAATGGTGTCTTTGCCAAGAAAACCCCATGTGGAGTATTACAGGGCTATGATACACAGGGTTGCAAAGACGAAGGCACGACTAAGAAAACTAAACAACAACAGCAAAACAGCCACTATGTTCAGGGCATAGTTCTAGGCACTGGGAAAGTGAAATGGCACAATCATTTCCTTAAGGAGTTTCCATTGTACTTGGGATTGGGAGTAGGGAGAGTAGACCACAACACGGATAAACATAACCAAGGTTAAATATGATGTTGACAGAGAGATTAAAACAAGGGCCTTAGGACATCCTTTCCCTCTTGCTCCCCCTCCCACCCATTTCAATTTTTCACCTTTCTATCAAGGTATAATGACAAAAATCACTATTTTAATTAAATTTCACTCTTTCAATCTGTGATCATTGTTATTAGGGAGAGTGACAACCTACTATAAAGTGTTGTGGTGGTGGTTGTAGTCATTCAGTCATGTCTGAATCTTCATGGCCTCATTTGGGGTTTCACAGGCAAAGATATTGGAGTGGTTTATCATTTCCTTCTCCAGTTCATTTTACAGATGAGGAAACTGAGGAAACAGAGTTAAGTGACTTGACCAGAGTCACACATCTACTAAGTGTCCACAGCCAGCTTTAAACTCAGCAAGATAAGTCTTTCTGACTCCAGGCCTGGCACTCTATCCACTGAATCCCCCAGCTGCACTGTAGCTCCACTCATAATCCTTATGATTTTCTAAAGCAAAGCTCCCCCCCCTGCTCACCACTGCCTACATATTTCTTAGCTACTTATTAGAATATGGTAACTTTGGGTACTGGATATCTCACTTTTTATTTATATTGCCAAGTCTTTACACATATTA